GCCGCCCGCAGCCGGGCCCGGCCGGCCTCTGCAGCTCCCGCTCGGCCTGCCGGGCTCTCGGCCGGGAGCACCCCGCCGGCCTCCCCCGGGCCTCCCAGCTGTGGCCTCCTGGCCCCTCTGCCCCGCGCCCTCCCTCTGCTGCCGGCCTCCCCGCCCCCCTGCAGGCCAGCCCCGAGCAGAGCAGGCCAGGCCGCAGCAGCCATTGTAATAACTCATGCAAATGTGAGGGCTCGGGAGACAAAGAGAGGTCAGGCCAGGGGCTCGGGGATCCCTGTCGACAAACAATATTAGATGTAAAATGTGTACCTTTGACAAAAGTATTAATAGAGCGCTTTTGATTTTTTTTCCTCCTGATGAAAAGTGAAAAGTAGTAATTGTGGAGTGACAGAGGAAAATGAAGTTTTGAACTGAAAGGCAAAGTTCGCGGATGGAAAAACCCAACCCAATTAGCCGCTTATGAGGAATCGAAATGCAAGGCATTTGCTCTCCCATCTCCCTCAACAACCTTTTGATTGACTCTGCTTAGATCTGAACAGCGGAGCAGATAAATCGACATGCCACATGCACGCGATGCTTAATCATTTGTAATAGTCATATTTGCCCTGACACGTAATTTGCTACATCAAGCCATTTTTTTTCCTTGCTCACCAGCATTCGTGGCCTGGCCTTTGCTTTATAAAACATTTAATAGTTTGCTTTAAACACACCAACACGCCGGTCTGCGATTGCCCTTTGCGTGTGCCTGGAGGACCGGCCGGCGTGTCCTGCCGCTGGGCCCGGGCCACCCGAGGTGGGCAGCGTGGCCGGCCGGGGCTAAGGTCTGCCCTCTCTGTCTTGTGTGAGCAGCCACTCCGTGCATCAAGGCCATCAGTCCCAGTGAAGGCTGGACCACGGGGGGCGCGACCGTGATCATAATCGGAGACAACTTCTTCGACGGCCTACAAGTCGTGTTCGGGACCATGCTGGTGTGGAGCGAGGTAAGCCCGCACGGTCGGGCACCGGCACGGGCACCCGGTCCCCAGGGCCCCTGGTCACCGACAGTGGCCCGTGGCGGGGGCTTCTCCGGTGGGTGGGTGCGGAACGCCCAGCGCCCGTCCTGGGGCTTCAGACCTGCTGGAGGAGGTCCCGCATACCCTGGAACAATTAGTGCTCGAATTACTAGGAGCAGGTTGAAGGGGACATATGGTGGCAATTTTCATATGAATGATGCCCTGTGGCCTTTCCTGCAAACTAAAACCCGGGGTTGCTGGCAGATATTTTTCTCAAAGAGCACTGGATGCCGCGTCTCTGGGTGACAGCTAGGAGGGGCGTCCGAGACCAGGGTCCCATTTTGCTCATTTTGGTAATTATACCCAACTGGTGAGTGTCGGGCGCCGAGCTGAGGGCCCCTGTGTGGTTTCGCAGCTGATCACGCCCCACGCCATCCGGGTGCAGACGCCACCGCGGCACATCCCCGGCGTCGTGGAGGTCACCCTGTCCTACAAGTCCAAGCAGTTCTGTAAAGGTGCTCCCGGACGGTTCGTCTACACCGGTGAGTGCGCGCTGCAGCCTTCCTGGCGACGTGGTGGGAGGCGGGGGCCCCTTCGGGCTGCACGGGGGGCTCTGGGGTGAGCTGAGGACGCTGGGCCCCCAGGCTGGCTTTTGTCACGTGCACGGTATCTGCGTCCCCGTCTGAGATGGCGAGACACCATCTGGCCACGTGACCTCGGGCCCCTCCCATCTGCGGCCCTCTGCCTCTCACCTGTGAGGCTAGGCGGTGGGGTTCTCAGCAGCGGGTCCCCCTGCCTCCCATCGAGTAGCTGCCCAAGTGCTCGGCTCGTGCCGGGGCCCCAGGCCTCCATCTCATCCTTGTGGCCGCCCTGTCTTGTCGCTGTTGTCCATTTGTACAAGCCGAGACTCAGGTTAAGTCACGTGCCCAAGGTCACATGCCCTGTAAATGAGGGACCTCCAACCCAAGCCAGGTCTCTGCTCGAGGCCTGGGGTCTCATACCAGACACCTTTCTGCTTCCGCATTTTGCAGAGGTCTCGGGCAAACTCGTGTCAACGGCAGGCGTTGCCTCTGAAGTTAGAGTTTGTCACCTGAAAGCTGTCTGTCTTGCAGTTGCTCTCCTCAGCAGAGCTTAGTTGAGAGAGTTTGTTTGAGGTCACGTCTGAGAAACACCATACATCAGTGTGAGGCATGGTCATGTTTTGATTTCTGTCCTAGCCAAGTGCAAAAAGAGTGATATTTGAGATGTGTTTTCAACGACGGACAACACCTGCTGAAAGCTCGTGAGGGTGAAAGGGACGAGGACTTGTCCTCAAAGAACTGTGGCCTTGATGTGTGTGAGCGGCCAGGGCGGCTGGGAGGCGCGTGGCAGGAGCCTGGGTGGGGACGGGGGCTTCAGGGTGCTCTGTCACCCGCTGCGGGGCACCCTGCAGGTCTGGCCTTTCATTGGGATGCAGACCTGTCTTCTGTCCAGCCGGCAGGTGACACGGCGGACCCGAGAGGTCCCTTCCACTTTGGGGTTTGAGGACGGAAGAGAGGCTACTCACCCACCCCCTTTGGAGAAAGTGTGTGAAATACAGAATGTAAATTCTTCCACTGCCCACTTTCCAGTGGACCCAGTGTCACCAGGGCCAGCTGGACTCCAGTGACCCCTGGCGTCCTGGGTCGAGGAGACTGCCCCTCAGCGCTCAGTAGCCCTCCATGTGGTCCAGGTGGGGAGGGGGGACCTGCCCCACATCAGGGGCTTCTGTCCCCTGGGGATGAGCACATGCTCCCTAGAGACCCCAGAGCAGGGGCAGGACCTGGGCTCGATGCTCTGGGCCCTCTGGTGGACTCGGAGACGGAGAGGGCAGCTCGTCCAGTCTGAGGCACCCCGTGTGTTAAAGACCCGAGAAAAACAGAGTTGCAGAACTTGGGGCACCCTGAGGACTTTACGTGTTTCCGCCAGCGCGGGAGGCCGCTGTGTGCGCGGGGCCTTGAGAGCTGGACGTCAGGATGGGCCGGGCTCGGTGGCTGCTGAGCACACCTGCTCATGTCGACTGCTGGCTGGGGCGTCGCTCGTCTGGGTGTCCGGCCCGCGAGCCCCAGGCCTTAGAGGCCAAGGGCACCCGCTCTGCGCTGCCTGCTGCCGGCCGCGGCCTGGGCCCCCGCCCCCTCCGAGGGCCGCTGGTGTTCGGCCTCACACGCGGTTGTGCTGTCACGGGGAACTGGGGCCGGGTGTGACCCGTGGAGGTGCCCAGCGACTGCTGCCTCCTGTGACAGTTACTGAGGTGTACCTCCGGTTGGCGTCCCGTGCTCCTCAGCGGCGGGGACATCTGTCACCCGCTCAGGAGCCGTGTGGCGTGTCCCGTGTCTGCCGCGTGACGCGTGGGGCCTGCGTGGCTTCAGGCGCTACAGCGGGCGTGAGCCTGTGCGTGGGGAGGCCGCCGGCTCTCTTGGGAGCGGCTGGGGAAGCGCTCGTCCCAGGCAGACTTGCCAGCCTGCTGCAGCCCCGCGCGGGGCCTCGCGGGTCCTTCGCCCGTCACACCCCCGCACTGCGGGCTCCTCGTGGGGAGAAGCACAGGCTGCTGTCGGGAGCAGTGACTCTTCTGAGACGGAAGGGATGGAGGTTGGGCCGGGCTCCCCGAGCCTGTCGACTGCTGAGGATTCCGCCGGTGGGTGGGGCGGGCCCGGGCTGAGCACGTGGACGGGGCAGGTGTGTGTGCGGAATGAGCGGAATGAGCGAGGAGGAGCTGCCTGTCCCTGGCCGGCGGGTGTCACGTGCAGGGACGGCATCATGCCTCTGCTCCAGGGCCGGGGCGGGCGTCAGGGCAGTTCTCTCTGCCCCTCCCTGCCCTCCAGGTCGCCTGCCTTGGCGAGAAGCCGCCTCTGGCGGCATGTGGGGTGCTCTCTCTCCTCCCCCCGAGGGAAGAGGTTTATCCTGCGTTAGCTGCAGCGCCACCCGCTGTCCGGAGGCCCGTCCTCCATCCCCACGGTGGACACGGTGTCCACGCGGGCCTCTGGGCCGGAGGTCAGGATCCTGGTGGCCCACGGCCTTGGAGCTTCCTCCACCGAGAGCTCCCCACGAATGGGCCTGCCGTGGAGCCGGTCGGTGAGCTCGGCCTTCGCTAGCAGGAGGCTAATTTATTGCCTCCCTCACCCCAATCGTTAGCGGAATATACATTTCAAACGCCGTGTAAGGGATCTGGGCCCTCCACTCTCAGGGCGCAGAGGAAAGGTGGGGTCGTAACCTGTCTGACCTGGAAGCTTCTGTCTGATTTGCATTGCCCTGAAATTGATGGGGACAATGAAGTAATCACTGGGAATTGCTCTCCCCCGCTGAAAGCTGAGCCAGCCCTCCTGCATGTCAGCACTCAGGCACGCAGCCCCTGCGGGGAGGGCACCGTCCCCTGGGCATCTGGCTCCCATCAGTGTCCCCCGGCCCGGAGGCTGCCGGAACACCCTCACATCGGACCTGCCCGAGGCAGCCACCCTGGGATAATGAACCTGAGCCGGGAGGAGGCCCCTCCCCCCGCCAGGGGCAAAGGCCTAAATGATCTGTTTACAGCGATCTGAGAAACACCAGAGTTTTCGGAATCAGACCCGATGAGTCAACCCCGAGTGGGCGTGGGTGCCCCCGCCGCCCCAGCCCGCCCACCCGGCCCCTCGCCTGCCGCTTTCAGCGACTGCAAGGCACAATTACCTTGGGAAGCGCTGGCAGTCCAGTTGATTAGCACGGTGAATTAAAAGAATGAGTCACAAATGACATGTCCAGCTCTTCCATGCTAGCCCTTTGTACTCCCAGTGTGCCTCACCCCTGTTGTAAGAAGGTCAGAAATTAGAGAGAGAGAACAATTTTCAAGCGGCTGGCACTTAGGAGCAGAATTAACAATCACTCTGTATGTGATTGCCAGTTAACGGTAAATTGCCTCCTAGACTGTGAAATGCAATGTATGCGGGCGGGCACCTAAAATTAAATTAATGAGATAGTTGCTGCATTTAAAAGTGAATAGTGCAAATTAATAACTGAGTGCCGTGCTTGTTTTGGTATTTGTCTAACCGTGTACCGTTTGCTTTAATAATAATTAAAACGGCCCCACCCGAGAAACCCAATGTGCAGGCGGACAGACCCACGGTACGAGCGGACAGACCCACGGTACAGGCGGACAGACCCACGGTACAGGCGGGCTGAACCGTCTCACCTCTATAGTCTCGCCAGTAGTAACACATCCAGTTGTTAAGAGCAGTAAAAGAAATTATTTTTTAATTAGAATAGAAGCATTGCACTGTTATTTGATTAAGAACAGTTGGAATTTGTGTGCTTCTAATTGAAATTACGGGGCGGACAGACCCACGGTACAGGCGGACAGACCCACGGTACAGGCGGGCTGAACCGTCTCACCTCTATAGTCTCGCCAGTAGTAACACATCCAGTTGTTAAGAGCAGTAAAAGAAATTATTTTTTAATTAGAATAGAAGCATTGCACTGTTATTTGATTAAGAACAGTTGGAATTTGTGTGCTTCTAATTGAAATTACGTTAGAGCAGAAAGCGCTTTACAGACACGTCTCCAGGAGCGAGGCGTTCTCGCACAAACGTGCGTGCGATCGCTTTCCGGAAGTGTCTGTTTGGCAGGTTTCCTGTTACACAAAACAGCGGAAGCTGGTCTATGGTGGCAGGACTTTGGCGTGGTTCCCCAGGACACCGGGGCGACGCATCAGGGGCGCCTGGGGTCGACCTGTCCCCAGATGTTTGCTAGGCCCACCTTCACTTCAGGAGTTTCTTTTGCTCAATTAAAGAAATTATCACGATCACCAGGAGTCAGCGTGGCGCCTGCCACAGGCCAAGCCCACTTCCGAAGGGAGGCGTGGGCAGTCCGTGGCCCCCGTGTCCCGGGCGGGCACAGGCTGGCTTGCCTGCTGAATGCATGGCCCGGGCTCAAGTCTGCAATTTATTTCCTAGACGGGGACATAAAAATGATTATTTTCTGCACAAAGACGTGCATTCAATTTCAAGCTTATGAAATCATTACTCAACCAGTAATTGCTAACAGTTTGTGTTCTTTCCGATACAGTATTTATGCTTTTTGCTTTTTTTTTTTTTTAAAGTCAGATTGTGCCTTAAATGGGTGCTGTGCCAAGGGGGTAGACAGCTTGTCCTCAGGTGCCGCCCCGGCCCCCGGCGGTGACAGTGTCCTTGCCTGCGGCCCCCCCGAATGCTCTGGCGGGCCTCCACCGTTTACCCCCACTTCACTGCACTGCTTGAAAGGCGCTCATGTTCTGAAGTGTTTTAAAGATCTTTTGTGTGCATTCAGATGTGATCCTGTCAACAGCACGGTGACACACTGTAGAGTCAATAGCGCCTTCGACCACTGCCAGCACCAGCCCGCTGTCTCCCAGGCCAGCGCTCTTCAAACAAATTACTTGTATCCACACAGCAAATGATTCCTAATTGCCTCCCACAAATCATACTGTTTTTACTATGCTAAACTAAACGCTGGCACTTCCCCATAAATGTAAACCACCTGATTATTTCGATTATACGTTTCTAACCACATATGTGGA